TTAAATGAAAACAGCTAAAAAAGAAACGGGGGGTGGGGAGGAGAAAAGTATCGGGATGTTCTTCAGGTTTTATGTGCCAGAACACAGGGAGCACATGAAATTGTCATTTCCAGCATATTCAAACCCACATATCGAGAATCCAACTAATTACTTATAATTATGTGTATTCTTATAGTTTTATTTATGTAACACTTTGGTAGTGACCCTTATGCTGTATGCTGATAACGTAATATTAACATTACCTTCGTTATGTTGAAAATCTATTTCACGAAGTTCAATAATAAAGAGATTACAAAGCAACAAGAAATAAATAAGACGGATTTTAGCTCCATCGAATATGCATGTCGGTAGAAGATTAAAATAAACGTAGAAGCAAATTAACATGAATCCTCTTCAGCAGATGAAGATCATCCCTGAAGGGGATCGAAAAATACAGACGACCAATTTATCTTCTGTTTTTCTGTATCCATGTGGGTTTATATATTATTATTATTTTTTTTTATTATCACACTGGCCGATTCCCACCAAGGCAGGGTGGCCCGAAAAAGAAAAACTTTCACCATCATTCACTCCATCACTGTCTTGCCAGAAGGGTGCTTTACACTACAGTTTTTAAACTGCAACATTAACACCCCTCCTTCAGAGTGCAGGCACTGTACTTCCCATCTCCAGGACTCAAGTCCGGCCTGCCGGTTTCCCTGAACCCCTTCATAAATGTTACTTTGCTCACACTCCAACAGCACGTCAAGTATTAAAAACCATTTGTCTCCATTCACTCCTATCAAACACGCTCACGCACGCCTGCTGGAAGTCCAAGCCCCTCGCACACAAACCTCCTTTACCCCCTCCCTCCAACCTTTCCTAGGCCGACCCTACCGCGCCTTCCTTCAACTACAGACTGATACACTCTTGAAGTCATTCTGTTTCGCTCCATTCTCTCTACATGTCCGAACCACCTCAACAACCCTTCCTCAGCCCTCTGGACAACAGTTTTGGTAATCCCGCACCTCCTCCTAACTTCCAAACTACGAATTCTCTGCATTATATTCACACCACACATTGCCCTCAGACATGACATCTCCACTGCCCCAGCCTTCTCCTCGCTGCAACATTCATCACCCATGCTTCACACCCATATAAGAGCGTTGGTAAAACTATACTCTTATACATTCCCCTCTTTGCCTCCAAGGACAAAGTTCTTTGTCTCCACAGACTCCTAAGTGCACCACTCACTCTTTTTCCCTCATCAATTCTATGATTCACCTCATCTTTCATAGACCCATCCGCTGACACGTCCACTCCCAAATATCTGAATACATTCACCTCCTCCATACTCTCTCCCTCCAATCTGATATTCAATCTTTCATCACCTAATTTTTTTTGTTATCCTCATAATCTTACTCTTTCCTGTATTCACCTTTAATTTTCTTCTTTTGCACACCCTACCAAATTCATCCACCAATCTCTGCAACTTCTCTTCAGAATCTCCCAAGAGCACAGTGTCATCAGCAAAGAGCAGCTGTGACAACTCCCACTTTGTGTGTGATTCTTTATCTTTTAACTCCACACCTCTTGTCAAGACCCTCGCATTACTTCTCTTACAACCCCATCTATAAATATATTAAACAACCACGGTGACATCACACATCCTTGTCTAAGGCCTACTTTTACTGGGAAATAATTTCCCTCTTTCCTACATACTCTAACTTGAGCCTCACTATCCTCGTAAAAACTCTTCACTGCTTTCAGTAACCTACCTCCTACACCATACACTTGCAACATCTGCCACATTGCCCCCCTATCCACCCTGTCATACGCCTTTTCCAAATCCATAAATGCCACAAAGACCTCTTTAGCCTTATCTAAATACTGTTCACTTATATTGTTTCACTGTAAACACCTGATCCACACACCCCCTACCTTTCCTAAAGCCTCCTTGTTCATCTGCTATCCTATTCTCCGTCTTACTCTTAATTCTTTCAATAAAAAACTCTACCATACACTTTACCAGGTATACTCGGGCAGACTTATCCCCCTATAATTTTTGCACTCTCTTTTTTTCCCCTTTGCCTTTATACAAAGGAACTATGCATGCTCTCTGCCATATATATAATATATTATATATATAAAATATATATATATATAAATATATATATAATATATATATATATTATATATAAACACTGCACTAGCCCAGGAGTCGAACCCACGCTGTTTGGCCCACCTGATGGTGAGAGAAAACGCATGACGCTTTAGACCACTAGACCACACAATCTTTAATAATGGTGCATCCAGCCAAAACAGAACGGGTTCGACTCCTTGGCTAGTACAGTGTTGTTAATGATCAATATCACTTGTTCCGTGGGTACAATAATATATATACATATTCTTCTTTTTTTTTTTCAACACACCGGCCGTATCCCACCAAGGCAGGGTGGCCCAAAAAGAAAAACGAAAGTTTCTCTTTTTAAATTTAGTAATTTTATACGGGAGAAGGGGTTACCAGCCCCTTGCTCCCGGCATTTTAATCGCCTCTTACAACACGCATGGCTTACGGAGGAAGAATTCTGTTCCACTTCCCCATGGAGAATATATACATATATATATATATATAATTACTCAACACAGGAAAGAGGGGATTGTGTATAGCTTTGAGAAATTATTCGGTAGTAATGAAGTGATTTGCTGTTAAACTCATTAGGTTTAATGAGAATCTTAACTACAGAAGAATGCATAGGTAGATTAAATTAAAAAAAAGTTTTACCTCAAAAAAGATAAGAATTTCTTTACTTGAGCCCTGATGAATAAAGCAGGAACATCAAATATTACTAATATTATTACTAATACTCAGTTGTATAGGCAAACCTCATTGCACGCTTTTTTAAAGTATATTAATGAAGTGTTCATACACAAGATGTGTGAGAGGCCCTACACTGTACCCGTGAGCCGCCAAGGTTACCATATGAAGATTTTACAACCAACACTTCTGTGACTTCGTTGCCTCAACTGTTACCTTCTGTTACGCTTCTTTCTAATCCCACATTCCCACCGATTTCATGGTACATCTATTCTCGTACCCCTCAAAGCCCTATCGTCTGTGTACCACAAAAATTATCTAGATACTGGCTAAGGGCACTTGATTTTAAAACGTGCGCTTTCTTAGCTCAAATATTACCTAACCATTCCCTGGAGTTGCATGAACCATACAGGTTTAAGCTTCCCAATGATTATAATAATTATATTATTTATTTTGATTTTGTTGTCTTTTTGTGCGTTCAGTTTTTCCTTTCTTTTCCACTTAATCACTTTTTTAGACTATATCACAGCTTTCCAGAATTTTTTATAGCAAAAAATCGTTTGCAAATAGCAACTTGATGAATTCCCACTTCCGTTGTCGTTTCATGATTTTTACATTCATGGGCTATGAAAAGTAGTTAGGATCTGAGGAATGAGAAAAGGGTTAGCTTCAATTCAGTGGATCACGAGCCCTTCATTAGCTTTGCTTAAGAACATGCCTCAGCTTAACAATAGCGTTCACTTGTCTTACATCTCAGTAAACAGTTTTCCTTACTGTTATCAGACATACAAGAATGATGATATGAATGTTGGAGACGAGAGTACGGCTGAATAGTACTGGGAACCACAGTGGTGACTGAACTCGCCTCAGTGATTGCCACTAATAGGACACTGCTTGCCTGCAAGTGTGGACCTTCACTGCCTGCCTGCAAGTGTGGACCTTCACTGCCTGCCTGCAGGGTGGACCTTCACTGCCTGCCTGCAGGGTGGACCTTCACTGCCTGCCTGCAGGGTGGACCTTCACTGCCTGCCTGCAGGGTGGACCTTCACTGCCTGCCTGCAGGGTGGACCTTCACTGCCTGCCTGCAGGGTGGACCTTCACTGCCTGCCTGCAGGGTGGACCTTCATCTCGTAGCTCCGCCTCTTAACCTTCAGTGGGCTAGTTCATTTCTAGTCCTTCGTGTTGTTTCGTATCTATAAATGCTAGTTGCTTCCCAAACTTCGATGGGGTGATGTTTCTTAATTATTTTTACATTGAAAATTCGTACTCAAGTTCCTCTGGTTTACATAAATGCTAAGCTTCTGTTTGTACATGACTAAGTGTGAGTGTGTGTGTGTGTGTGTGTGTGTGTGTGTGTGTGTGTGTGTGTGTGTGTGTGTGTGTGTGTGTGTGTGTGTGCGTACTCGCTTAATTGCTCTCGCCTAATTGTGGTTGAAGGGATCGAATCTCAGCTCTTGGCCTCGGCTCTAGGTCCTCTCTCTTTCAGTTCCCTGAGCATTGTCATACCTCCTCTTAAAGCTACGTATGGTTCCAGCCTCCATTACATCACTTGCTAGACTATTTTACTTCCTGACAACTCTATGACTGAAGAAATACTTCTAACATCCCTGTGACTCGTCTGAGTCTTCAGCTTTCAATTGTGAACCCTTGTTTCTGTGTCCCTTCTCTGGAACATCCTGTCTCTGTCCACCTTATCTATTCCACACAGTATTTTGTATGTCGTTATCATGTCTCCCTTGACCCTCCTGTCCTCCAGTGTCGTCAGGCCAATTTCCCTCAACCTTTCTTTGTAGGACATTCCACTAAGCTCAGAAACTAACCTTGTTGCAAACTTTTGCACTTTGTCTAATTTCTTGACGTGCTTGACCAAGTGTGGGTTTCAACCCGGTGCTGCATACTCCAGTATGGGCCTGACGTACACAGTGTACAGTGTCCCTGTGTGTGTGAGAGAGAAATATTGTTAACAAGAGTATGTATGCATGCATGCTCTTATCTCTTCAATTCAGTGCATTAGAGAGGGAGAGAGACTCGGAGGTTTAAAGATGTTGCCAGAGATTTATAATGCAAAATTAAAAAAAAATCCAAAGTAATGACTACTCAGAGGTTAATGTGTTTTCTACAGCAGTACAGGTGAGGATTATATTCCATATCAATAAGAAATCTGGTTAAGATAAAATATCATTAGAGTTATCATGGCAGTAATGCACCACCCACAGTGTTCGCTTCATAGCCTAGTAATACCACCAAGACCCTCGGCTCATCATTCCCCATTGAACAATTGAGCTGCACGCAATCCATCGCGCACTGCTGGTCCCGTCTTGCGTCCCTTTGAACCAGTAAGATGATGCACAGTGTGTTTTGTTGTATGAATAGTCGTGTGTGAGTTGCTTTGGTCTCTGAGGATAAACACAGTCGGATGTAGACTGCTCGTGTGGACATAACGTTGCTCAAAGTTGCGAGGACTTGGACATGCACTTGTCTTCCTTCTGTCACGGATATATCATATACGGTAAATATGTGCCAAGGTGTGCAAAGGTTGATAATGGATTTGAAAGGCCGGGTATTAGTGAAACAAAAGTTGAAAGTGAATAAGAAAAGAGGAAAGGGATCAATATTAGTACTATTTAAAAAATAAATGTAGTCATTGGGATGCTCTACATTCATGGGGTTCATCAAATGTCTGAGGATTGGTACGGAAAAGGATGGAGCTACGATGAGTAAGGTGGCACCAAGTTTTGCATCTAGAGCCATTAATCAGAATCTAGGTACTTTTATGATTATATAGACTATATGGCCAGCAGTAACAGCCTCGTTGATCAGGTCCTGATCCACCGGGAGGCCTGGTCGTGGGGGCGTTGATCCCCGGAATACTCTCTAGGTAGACTCCAGGTAGAGGGGTACGAGAATAGATGTACCAAGAAAGCTGTAGTGGAGTGGGATGAGACAATAGAATCATAGGTGGCAGTTGATGTAACTAAATCTCGAATGTTTTCGATTCTTAAACTCATTCACTGTAGCCATCGTGGCTCATTGGTACAATACAGTGCCAACACAAACCTTGTTTATGTCCGCTTTATTATACTTACTCCAGAAAATGTGTTGTTTGCCTCTACACGTGTGTATGGGATCAGCCTTGAAACTAGGCAGTTTTCTTCTTCCTGTTCTATTCACTAGGGTTCACGTTAAGGAATTTTTAGTTTTCTTGCTGAGGAACTCTTTAAATTTATTCTACTCATTCATTCTTCAGTTATTTAGATTATTAAACACTGATATTTACTTGCAGAAAGACCACAAACAAGTGATATCTTAATTAATATGCAATAAAACCACAGTGAACAACAGTACTTTTCTAAGAGTATTTGGATTTATCACAATAACCAGAGAACAGCAAAAGTACTAAAGCAACAAAAAAGTCTTGTTATGGTGAAATATTACCTCACATGTAGTCAGTGGGGCAGTTAATTACCTCACTCAGAGTGGGAGAGGCATATCAATTTTAAGGTCGTGTGTCAGGTTAAATTCAAGAGTGACGTGTTAGGTAAAGGGGAATTTGTTAATGTAGCATATAATACTAAAAATTTTATGTATTACAAACGACTCTAATTTAAATGATCTTGGATTTATACTCGACTTTTATTCCTTTTTTGTACAGCAGGTGTCTATTATAGTTAGTTCAGCCATTGACTTGTTTGTTACACACTCCTCAGCCATTTGAAAATCAGTGTGGTGGCAAAAATCTATCAGAATCCTGGAGACGGAATTTTGATTAATCTCTGTATTCGACGGATATTTCTTCTCTATTTAAGAGCTTCGAAAACAACATTGTATTTAGATACCTTGATATCATATTAGCTATTTGATTAAAAAATCCCAGCAAAGTACCAATGCTTGTTTCAACAACATTTGTTGTACAAAATTCAATATATTTTATTTTTGGAAAGCTGGAAAAAGGTAGAACTATGATTACTACAATATGAATGCAGTATTAGCACCGGGCAAGTCTCCACAGAATGTTTATTGATGCGACAATTTCAGCCACTTAATGCATATCGAACCGCCTGAAAAAGTTTATACAAGAAAATCAATGGTTAAACGAAATATAAGCTAAATAAAAAAAAGTGAGATTACAATATGAATTTAATTCCAGAAGTGCATAATTAGATTCTTCTGTAATACATAAACTTTGTGAGGATTATAATCTATGATAGTAAGTTTCTCTTTACCTGAATTGTCACTCTTAAATTTTACCTGATATATGACCTTCAGAACAACTGGAATGTATTGGCAAACTTTCCAACCGGCTATGTGGGAGGTCACATCTCTTCTTTATCAGACTGTTACTTTATTGCTCTTTGCTTTGTCTTTACAATGAGGGATATCACGAAATAGGCTTGGAATACTACTACTGTTCACTGTGGTAGTAATGCCTATGTATTCATACATATTTATAAATTAATGAATAAGGATATATGCATGTCGTGCAGCATAGGTAAAACTTGCGATTTTGGCTTAAATAGCAACGCTCTTCTTGGCGAATAAGGAAAGCGAAAATTTGTGTATGCAATAATTTCGCAAAAATCATTCTAAACCTAACGATAAAAAATATTTTCATTGTGTTTGTTTATTATTAAATTATTGTCAACTTTCCTAAGACATTTAGTTGGATAAGGCTAAATTAAATTGCACTTGTTATAATAAGGTTAGGTAAGTTTTCTAAGATTTTTTTGGTACAAAATTATTAATTTTTACATTAACATAAATGAAAAAATATATCTTTAAACGTATAAGAGAAAATTTTAGAAAGTACTTAATTTTAAATGAGTTCTTGCTAACTGACCAGTTTTGGCTATTCTGCTCCTCAGACCGAACCTAATTACCCCCCAATCCCCCCTTCCCTCTCCCATCCTCCCCTTTTTCCTTTCCTCCTCCTCCTCACCCCTCCCTTTTGCCCTTCCTTTTTGGCCTTTGGGATTTTTTCCCACAGGCACGCTAGTTCCTAGGTAGGGGAAAGGGTACCGGGGTCCATCCCATTCCGTTGAGGTTCTTGGCGGTGGCGTAGTTTGCCGTGGAACCTGGATTGCCTGGGGATGTCGCGATCCCTCTCCGGTATCCCGGAGGGTGGCTTTGGGTGTCTTTCGGGCGACGGGTGTATCTCTGGAAGCCACCTTTCGGATTCCGGGGGTGGTGGGCGAAGGAGTTATGCTTTGTGGCGGATATCCGGCCGCTCTCTTTTGTCCACCGAGGTAGCTCGGCAGATGTGAGGTTGCTATCCCGGATTGCTGGTTTACTGGCATGATGGGTAGGGTATGGCATGGGTTCCATGCTGCATCTGCACTACTTGCGGTGCTGAGGTCCTCTTGGGCGCGGAGGGAGATTTCTGGCCCTTTCATTCCTCCTAGGAACTATCCCTCCCCGGTCCCCCCTTTTTTTATTCTTTTTTTTTTTTTTTTTTCTTTTCTTCTTTCTTTTTTTTTCTTAAAAACAAAAAGAAAGTAACCTAACCATGGAAGCCCTAGTTCATGAACCTGCTACACCCGGGCCCCTTCTTGATACCGCACCCCGTTCTGACCCCGCCTCGTCTTTGGACCACTTTTCGGACACTCCTCATGCCTCTGTACCTCTTGCCGGTGCTGTTTCCTCACCCACTTCAGGTACTGAGGTCTCGACTGACTCCTTCGATTTATCTGACCTCCGCTCTCCTTTGACTATGCTTCCGGCCTCTCCCTCTACGGTGCGGCAATTTTCGAATCTCCGGCCCGTTCCACGTCGGACCAACTCTGGTCCCACTCCTAAACGCCAACGACAATTACCTGCTGATGAGACTTCTCCACCTTCTCGTTCTTCTCAGAAAAGATCGACACATCCTGCACTCCCTTTCCACGCTCAGTTTCAGAATGCACAATGGACTAAATTCTTCACTTTACCACCGATTTCCTCTATTGCCTATCTTTCCGACCACAGTATTGGCAAGGCACTCCTACGCCATGTTGGTAAAGATATTTCTTTTCATGCTCTTAAGAGCGGTATGCACATCATCACTGTACAGAATGCTACCCAAGCTCATGAGCTCTCTCGTCTTTCCCATATCGATACTCTTCCTGTCACTCGAGAAAAACATCATTCCCTCAATTCTTGTAGTGGTACCGTCATTCTGCCCCATACCATAGTTCAACAAAATTTCCAGACATGTGGCAATGACATTCTTGAACAGCTGGAACTCCAAGATCTCCCAATCCTCAAGGTAGACACTTATGTTCTTCCTGCCCGCGGGCGGAGACGATACCCTAGCAATGTGGCTCATTTAACTTTTGACAGCCGAGAACTCCCATCCTCAGTTTATATAGCAGGACATCGGTTACAAGTTCGAGAGGTGATCCCTACACCACAAGAGTGTAGAAATTGCTGGCGATTTGGCCATCTAGCGAAATATTTCAGATCTATAGCCGAATGCCCAGTCTGTGGTGCCGATGACCATTCTAATACGTCTTGCAATCGACCGCTTTTGTTACTTGGCGATTTTAATGCCCATCATTTCCTCTGGGGGTCTCACTGTGATTCCCGTGGCATTCAGTTAGAGGCTTTTCTTGCTTCCCACCCCCTCCATGTTTTAAATACAGGTACTCACACCCATTTTGATCCACGGACTCATACTCTCTCTTGCATCGATCTCTCAGTCTGCTCTTCCTCCGCCGCATTAGACTTCACCTGGTCTGTTCTCCCGGATTTACATGACAGCGATCATTTCCCAATCATTCTTACTTCCCCTTCATATTCACCACCTCTTCGTATCCCACGCTGGCAATTTGATCAGGCAAATTGGAACCTTTACTCACAACTAACTGTTTTTAGTGAGGTTCCTTCTTCGTCCTCCATTGATGAGCTTGTACACCTCTTCTCGTCCTCCGTTTTAACCGCAGCTTCTCATTCTATACCCCAAACTACGGGCAGGCGTTCTCAGAAATGCGTGCCTTGGTGGTCTCCTGCTTGTGCTCGTGCAGTACGTTTGAAACGCGCTGCGTGGGGCAGGGACCGGTACAATAGAACCACGGAGAGACTTCTTGATTTTAAGCAGAAGCGTGCGATCGCTCGTCGTGTCATCCGTGACGCTAAACGCACTTGCTGGCGAGATTATGTCTCCACCATCACCTCTGCTTCCTCTATGAGTGGTAAATATTCTCCTGACTCGGCTCCTGTTCTGCGGGTTGCCGGTGTTGATATAGCAAACCCTCTAGATGTTGCCAATGAATTTGGCAATCATCTGGTCCGTATTTCTCAGGGGCTCCATCTATGCCCCTCGTTTCTTTCCTCAAAGTCTGCCAGAGAGTTAACACCCTTGGACTTTTCTTCTCTCAGAGAAGAACAGTATAATATGCCTTTTACACTTCAGGAACTGGAAGCAACACTCTCAGCTTGCCGATCATCGGCTACAACATTTACATCAGTCAGCGCTTGCAGTCCTATTAAGACTTTTCAATCTTATTTGGTCACAAGGAGTTCTTCCACAGCTGTGGAAATCTGCCATTGTTCTCCCTTTCCGCAAACGGGGTACTACGGGACATGAAGCCTCCCACTATCGTCCCATTGCCCTTACCAGTGCAGTTTGCAAAGTGATGGAACGCCTGGTAAATAGACGTTTAGTGTGGTATTTAGAGACACGCAGCAGTCTCTCCACTCATCAATATGGCTTTCGTAAGGGCCGTTCTACCATAGACCCCTTACTATGCTTGGATACGTATGTTCGTAATGCCTTTGCGAATAACCACTCAGTTATTGCCATATTTTTTGACCTTTAGAAGGCATATGACACAACTTGGAGGTATAATATTTTGGCCCAAGCCCATCCTTAGGCCTCTCGAGGCAATCTACCATCCTTCCTTAAGAACTTTTTAACTGATAGACATTTCCGTGTTCGGGTTAATAATGTGCTCTCCCCGGACTTTATCCAAGCTGAAGGTGTCCCCCAGGGATGTGTTCTGAGCACAATACTTTTTCTCCTTCCTATTAATGATTTGGCATCTAGTCTTCCATCAAATATTTGGTCATCACTCTATGTTGATGACTTCGCTATTGCCTGTGCAGGCGCTGACTGTCACCTCATTACAGTTTCTCTCCAGTATGCGGTCGACCGTGTTTCCAATTGGGCCACCACACATGGGTTTAAATTTTCCAGCACCAAAACTAGCCAAATTACTTTCACTAGACGCTCTGTCATCTCCGATTATCCTTTGTACCTCTATGGCTCCCGTATCCCTGAACGTGATACAGTCAGGTTTCTGGGCTTCCTCTTTGACCGTAGGTTATCCTGGAAACCTCACATTACCTCTCTGAAGGCAACTTGTCACAGCCGGCTGAACCTTCTTAAAACCCTTGCTCATCTTTCATGGGGAGCTGATCGTCGAACTCTCCTTCGCCTACATTCCACCCTCATTTTATCGAAACTTGATTATGGTGACCAGATCTATTCAGCAGCCTCTCCTGCTACTCTCTCTAGCCTTAACCCCATTCATCACCAAGGATTACGTTTATGCCTTGGGGCTTTTCGCTCTTCCCCTGTTGAGAGCCTCTATGCAGAAGCGAACGTTCCATCCTTATCCGATCGCCGTGATGCCCATTGCCTTCGCTACTATGTACGCTCTCATGATCCCCGCAATCCTTCCATTAATAGAATGGTCACTGATATTAGTAGACATTCTTTATTTGTTCGCCGCCCCTGTTTACTCCGTCCCTTCTCTCTTCGCCTACATTCGCTCTTGTCTTCTCTTGAATTACCACCTTTCTATGTTCATGTAGCATCTCACTTTTCCCTACATCCCTGGGAAGTTCCAGTTGTTCGAGTCTGTTCTTTCTCTCTCCCTTGCTCGAAAGCCCAACTGTCTACGGTCGCTTCCCGCTCTCTTTTTCTTGACCACTTCCACTCTCATTCTCATGCCATTGCAGTGTACACAGATGGCTCTAAGTCTTCTGACGGCGTAGGATTCGCAGCAGTGTTTCCGGACAGAGTCGTACGAGGGCATTTACTATCTTCGGCTAGTATTTTTACTGCTGAATTGTATGCCATTCTTGCAGCACTTATCCGTATTGCATCTATGCCTGTGTCATCATTTGTGGTTGTCTCAGACTCCCTTAGTGCTTTACAGGCTATACAGAAATTTGATGCACTGTTTTTTGTTGGGTCCCTGGTCATGTTGACGTACAGGGCAATGAACAGGCAGACACTGCTGCGCGGTCAGCAGTACATGACCTACCAGTTTCATATAGAGGTATCCCATTTACGGACTATTTTGCTGCAATAGCTACCCACCTTCACACCCGTTGGCAACAACGTTGGTCTGCTATCCTCGGTAACAAACTTCAATCTACTAAACCGAGTATAGGCTACTGGCCGTCTTCTTGTCACCAGTGTCGAGGTTGGGAGACTACTCTCCCATCTTCGCATTGGCCATACTCGTCTTACTCGTGGTTGTCTCATGGAGAGGCGCTCTGCTCCTCTCTGTGAGAATTGTCAGGTTCCATTATCAGTCAGCCACATTCTGTTAGACTGCCCACTTTATCAACGAGCACGCAGAATTTACCTCCGTCGTCGTCTTCGCTTCCCTTCTCGCTGATGGACCCACCTTTCATCCGGACTCTCTCATTGACTTTTTGACAACAACTGACTTACTTCACAAACTCTGATACCTTCAGCCCTTTCTACCTCAGTCTCTTGCTACCCTCTACCCCCGCACTATCCCCTGCCCCGATGTTTTCTGTAACGTACTGATCATCCCTCCCCCTTCTGCCGCCCAATACCCTCGCTTCCTTCCCTACCCTGCAGCGCTGTATAGCCCTTGTGGCTTAGCGCTTCTTTTTGATTATAATAATAATAATTTACCTATTCTACACGACATATAAATATATAATAACACTGCGACCTGCCAGGGATTGAACCCGGGTCATCTAGCCAGCCTCCCGGGAAGCTAACTAAACTGTCGACGCCCTAGTCCAATACGCGTCCGTGCTATAAGACGTTAGGTGTACAGTATGCACACTAAGCATGCTTTTCTTAACGCCGAGCACATTCGTGCGGTGAAAACCTCAGGAACTTGTTTCGTGGATACACTCGTGAGACTGGTATTCAAAAGAGAAAAGAATGAAATTAGTTCCTGAGCTTTTCACTCCCACGAATGTGCTAGGTATTGGGGGGAGGCATGTCTCATATGCTTAATGGACACCTAACATCTTGTAGAATGGTGGTGTAGTGGACTATGGCGTCGACAGTTCAGCTTGCTTCGTGGGAGTCTAGCTAAATGACTCGAGTTCAATCCCCGGCAGGTCACAGCATGATATTTGATATCTATATATATATGTGTGTATATAAATATATATATAAATATATATATTAATTTTAATTTATTTTCTAAGTGTCGATTGTAGAAGAGTCTGAACTCGTCAGGCTTCAGGACAACATCGCTGAGGCACATGTAAAGGCAGCGCTGACTGCTGACGAGGGCAGCGAGGCCAAGCTCATCTCGTGGAGCGTTGAAGACTTCACTAACAAAGGCGATAATTACGCCACCATCGTTACCAGTGTCAGTGTCAAGTTTTCCCTGCTGGGAAAAAAACAATCTTCGTCATATGTGGTCAAGCTCCTACCACACTGGTCATACAGTGAAGGCGGTCCGGAATTTGGTCTAGCAGTATTTGAGAAAGAGTCAGAATTTTTCAAAGAAATTCTTCCTGTGTTAAACTATGAGCTGACCTCTCTTGGTTTCAGTCCCTTGAGAGTAGCGAAATGGTTTTATACATCTTTAGAGAAAGAGAAAGAGATGATTTTCTTAGAAGATCTTCGTCCACGAGGATTTCAAATGTTCGACCGAAAGAAGAGCCTGAGTGTGGCGCACGCCACTCTTGTCCTGCAGGAGCTGGCCAGACTGCACGCAGCCTCGCTCCTGTTAAAAGCCAAGGCTCCCACAGAGGATCTAGCGGACAGGTTCACTCATATTAAAACTGATTGGATGACTTTCTCAGACTCTGCAAAAGCGATGATAAATGGGGTTTTTTCTGGCTCATTAAATAGTTGTGAGCACTTATTACATAACATAAAAGGCTATGAGGTAGCAGAGCAGTGGATAGCCAAGCACAAGGATTACTGGGCTGAACTTATACAGATTCAGTTGGCCAGAAATCCCAAGTTTGATGTCATTTGCCACGGTGACTGTTGGAACAACAATATGCTCTTCAGGTAGGTAAAAATGGACTTGTCTATTATGAGCACCTCTGATATATATATATACATTGAACATTGCCTTTATAGTTCCAGTAATGTTTTATATTTTTAAACCTTGCTTATACAAGTTTTAATAAATATCGTTAATAGTATACACTTCTTGCAGGTATAACAAAGAAGGGGATCCCGTTGAGGTTATGCTCTTGGACCTCCAGCTGAATCGTGTTGCCTCTCCGGCCACAGACCTCAATTACTTTCTATACACGAGTCTCCACGGTCATGACAGGAAGGCAAACTGCCAGTACTTCCTCTCCTCCTACTACGACACTTTTCGAGGGATGATGGAGGCTGGAAGAAGAAACATGCCTTTCACCCTGCAGGAACTACGTCAGGAGTACAAAGATAAGATGGAATATGGGATCATTTTCGGTGCAGCGTCGGTGCCGTTTTTATTAGGTGAGAGTAAGGATGCTCCCGATTTGATAAACATGAAGGAAGAAAACGTTACCGAGTTATCAGAGGCGATGCAATTAAAGACCCAGAATTTGGTGGAAAACAATCCGCTCTTTCGATCTCGAGTTCTCGCCATATTTGACGAACTGATAAAGCAGGCCGCCACCAAGTCTTTAAACTGTCCAGATAGTAAGTAAACTGTTTGTTTTTTTATAATTTATATGGCGCAGAGGTCTCTATTTACTCAAACCGAGAACTTGTACATCGCCAAAATAAATGTAACTATGCGATATTTAATAAATTTATTTTATAAGAAGGCTTTCATGGTTACAGAAATAACAGTATTTGCAATGATGAATATCGACAATGAACGCAAATTTTTCAAAAGCTTCGAGTTATAGTGAATATATGAAGACATTTGTGGGCTTTTCACATATAACTTCATTGGAAGGCTAACCACACATATTGGATAAGAGTTTTCAAGAAAAATGAAAAGTTCCAGCATAGTTTCAGCATAAACAATATTTTAATGATTAAGAATCTGATATCTATTTATCTATCTATCAGATTCTAGATTCGTACTCATCTTCGATGTTCACACCTAATTCACTAGCCATTATGAATAACTTTTTTCGTGAAAACTCCAAAAAATTAATATTCTAAGCAACATGTCTGTGATCAATGATCTTTTAAAATTTACAATTGCTAATTTTAAATTTATTTTCATTATTGCTACTTTTCTCACATATATATTACACGCAAATGATGATTAGACATACATGCTATATAAACAGGAAAGCCTTGAGGTTATGAGGAAGAAACAAAAATAAATTTTTGGGTAAATTTCTCTTTTGTTTTCTGAAATCTGTACTTAGAAAATATAAAGATTATTATTATTATAATCAAAAAGAAGCGCTAAGCACAAGGGCTATACAGCAGAAAATATAGAGAGTCCAGAAAAAATAAAGAATATTTGCACATACCTTCCCTATTTCCATAACCGTTCAAAAGTCTCGCAAAGTTTGAATTTTCTTGAGACCTGCCATATAAAACTGATGAACATTTTAATACAAGCCAGCTAAAAGTTAACACTTAAATACAGAGCTATACAAGATTTATCTGATCATATGAAAGCTGGCATTTTATTAGTCAAGACAAAGAAAATTATTTCTGACGCGGATACGAGTCACATTATAGACCATTCAATGGATCGTTAGGTCTTTTGACTAAGTTCTTTTCTGTGGTTCATCGGTCCACTCTGTCAGAAATACATAAAAGTATCAAAAGGACCAGCTAACATTTTACTGAGGCCTTTCTCAAGTCATCAGCCGTGGAAAGGACAAAATGAAAAATAATTTGATTATCCTGAATCAATCAGCTGGTCTTTTTTGCTATATTGTCTGGGGGCAAAAGCTCTTGCTTCACACGGTGAGGGTCCGGGTTCGATTCCTGGCGCAGGGGTGGAAACACTGGACGTATTTCCTTACACCGGTTGTGTGTATTCACCCATCAGTAAAATGGGTACCTGGGTGTTAGTCGACTGGTGTGGGTCGCATCCTGGGACAAAACTGACCTAATTTGCCCGAAATGCAATGCATGACGAATGGCTTTCTATATGTCATTAATGTCAGCTAAGCCTGTATACTTTGTACATGTGCTAATAGAAATAAAGCTATATTATTATTATTAAAAGGCAAAAAACAGTAAGTGTAATGGTATCTTACCTACCCTCAGTGATCAATGATAACAGGTACCAAAATAACTGATACCAAAATAACATCATACTATGACTTTCCTTCAATGAATTACTGTACATAACATAATGCATTGGTTTTTATTACTAATGTTATGCAAAGTACGTAAACTATCTCCAGAGTAAACCATATGGAAATATTAAAATCTAGTAGACCATATGAAAAAGTTAGAATATAAGCAGACTAATATATATATATATATATATAATATATATATATATATATATATATATATATATATATATATATATATATATATATATATATATATTCTAGGTAGTAGGTTGGTAGACAGCAACCGCCCAGGGAGGTACTACCGTCCGGCCAAGTGAGTGTAAAACGAAAGCCTGTAATTGTTTTACATGATGGTAGGATTGCTGGTGTCCTTTTTTCTGTCTCATACACATGCAAGATTTCAGGTACGTCTTGCTGCTACTACTTACACTTAGGTCACATTACACATACATGTACAAGCATATATATACACATCCCTCTGGGTTTTCTTCTATTTTCTTTTTAGTTCTTGTTCTTGTTTATCTCCTCTTATCTCCATGGGGAAGTGGAACAGAATTCTTCCTCCGTAAACCATGCGTGTTGTAAGAGGCGACTAAAATGCCGGGAGCAAGGGGTTAGTAACCCCTTCTCCTGTATACATTACCAAACTTAAAAAAAAGAACTTTCGTTTTTCTATTTGGGCCACACTGCCTTGGTGAGATACGGCCGGTTTGTTGATTATATATATTTATATATACACACACACACACACACACACACACACACACACATATATATATATATATATATATATATATATATATATATATATATATATATATATATATATATATATATATTTTTTATTTATTATTATATTATTATTATTATTAACACTGGCCGATTCCCACCAAGGCAGGTGCCCGAAAAAGAAAAACTTTCACCATCATTCACTCCATCACTGTCTTGCCAGAAGGGTGCTTTACACTACAGTTTTTAAACTGCAACATTAACACCCCTTCTTCAGAGTGCAGACACTGTACTTTCCCATCTCCAGGACTCAAGTCCGCCTGCCGGTTTCCCTGAATCCCTTCATAAATGTTACTTTGCTCACACTCCAACACACCGTCAAGTATTAAAAACCATGTGTCTCCATTCACTCCTATCAAACACGCTCACGCATGCCTACTGGAAGTCCAAGCCCCTTGCACACAAAACCTCCTTTACCCCCTTCCTCCAACCTTTCCTAGGCCGACCCCTACCCCGCCTTCCTTCCACTACAGACTGATACACTCTTGAAGTCATTCTGTTTCGCTCCATTCTCTCTACATGTCCGAACCACCTCAGAAACCCTTCCTCACCCATCTGGACAACAGTTTTAGCAATCCCGCACCTCCTCCTAACTTCCAAACTACGAATTCTCTGCATTATATTCACACCACACATTGCCCTCAGACATGACATCGCCACTGCCTCCAGCCTTCTCCTCGCTGCAACATTCATCACCCATGCTTCACACCCATACAGGAGCGTTGGTAAAACTATGCTCTCATACATTCCCCTCTTTGCTTCCAAGGACAAAGTTCTTTGTCTCCACAGACTCCTAAGTGCACCACTCACCCTTTTCCCCTCATCAATTCTTTGATTCACCTCAGCTCTCATAGACCCATCCGCTGACACGTCCACTCCCAAATATATGAATACATTCACCTCCTCCATACTCTCTCCCTCCAATCTGATATCCAATCTTTCATCACTTAATCTTTTTGTTATCCTCATAACCTTACTCTTTCCTGTATTCACTTTCAATTTTCTTCTTTTACATACCCTACCAAATTCATCCACCAACCTCTGCAAATTCTCTTCAGAATCACCCATGAGGACAGTGTCATCAGCAAAGACCAACTGTGACAACTCCCACTTTGTGTGTGATCCTTTATCTTTTAACTCCACGCCTCTTGCCAAGACCCTCACATTAACTTCTCTTACAACCCCATCTATAAATATATTGAAAAACCACGGTGACATCACACATCCTTGTCTAAGGCCTACTTTTACTGGGAAATAATCTCCCTCTTTCCCTCTAACTTGAGCCTCACTATCCTCGTAAAAACTCTTCACTACTTTCAGTAACCTACCTCCTATACCATACATCTGCAACATCTGCCACATTGCCCCCCCTATCTACCCTGTCATACTCCTTTTCCAAATCCATAAATGCCACAAAAACCTCTTTAGCTTTATCTAAATACTGTTCACTTATATGTTTCACTGTAAACACCTGGTCCACACCCCCCTACCTTCCTAGATATATATATATATATATATATATATATATATATATATATATATATATATATATATATATATATATATATAATATATATATATAATTACTCAGCACAGGAAAATTGGGATTGTCTATAGCTTTGTCAAATTATTCGGGAGTAATAAGCTAATTTGCAATCAAACTCATAGGGTTTATTGAGAATCTTAAACATAGAAGAATGCATGGGTAGATTAAATTAAAAAAAAAAATCCCAAAGAAAGTTAAAAAATTCTTTAATTGCTCCCTGATGAATAAGGCAGGAACATCAAATATGACTAATTTCAGGCCTAAGCCCGTATTCAACTGTAGAGGCAAACTTCATGCACTGTTTTCATTTAAGTGTATTAATAAAATGGATATAAACAAGATGTGTGAGAGGCCCTGCACTGTACCCGTTAGCCACCAAGGCTACCATATGAAGATTTTACAACCAACACTTCTGCGACTTCCTTGCATCAACTGCTACCTTCGGTTACGCTTCAGTCTAATCCCACCTTCCCGCCGATTTCATGGTACATCTTTTCTCATTCCCCTCACAGCCCTATCGTCTATTTACCACAAAAATTGCCCAGATACTGGCTAAGGGCACTTGATCTTAAAACGTGCGATTCCTTAGCTCAAATAGTATTACCTAACCATTCTCTGGACTTGTATGAACCATACAGGTTTAAAGCTTCCCAGTCATTATATTATTTATTTTGATCATGGTTTTCTTTTCTGCGATCAATTTTTCTTTTTTTTCGTTTCTTTTATTCACTTTTTATAGACTATATCACAGTTTCCCAGAATTTTATTATAACAATGTATTGTTTGCAAACAGCAACTTGATGAACTCCCACTTCCGTTGTCGTTTCATAATTTTTACATTCATGGGAAATGAAAAGAAGTTAGGATCTGATCAATGAAAAGGAGGTTAGCTTCAGTTCAGTGGATCACGAGCCCTTCATTAGCTTTGCTTAAGATCATGCCTCAGCTTAAAAATAGCGTTCACTTGTCTTACATTTCAGTAAACAGTTTTCCTTACTGTTATCAGGCATGACAGAATGATGATATAAATTATTGGAGACGAGAGTACGGCTGAATACTACTGGGAACCACAGTGGTGACTGAAC